ATGTTGGTACCCGAAAGATGGTGAACTATGCCTGAGTAGGGTGAAGCCAGGGGAAACTCTGGTGGAAGCTCGTAGCGATTCTGACGTGCAAATCGATCGTCAAACTTGGGTATAGGGGCGAAAGATCAGTATGCCATTGTTGAATATAATAACACGGGAAACACAGATGCACTACGCGAGCACGAAGGCATAGGATAGCAGAATTATACTGCGCTCGCATGATAGCGCGATAACGCGGTCGATGAAGTCACACCAGGAGAGCACGTTACACGGGGGACGGATCCATATAACTACGGAATAGCACCCGTCGGCGAGGGTACCGTCGATGAGACGCCATGGACCATGAATGAATATGGACCACTAAACCTGTAAACCCACTCAAGACCTTGGGAACACGGAATAACTAGCAGCCACGAAAGGGTGTCGTACTACTGAAAAGCATGAGCCCAAAAGAGAGAGCGCATTAACGGAAAAGGGCAATATCCACGGAGGAACATAGACGCCAACCAGTAGTACGGAGCAACGGACGCGTACGAATTAACGATACCGTACACTGCCACATGAGACTACGAAATGACAGGTGTTTTAAGTACACGACACAACATCGCACGGGGATGGCCGAAGCCTCGGGGTACAAGATCAGACTGAAAGCACACAACACACGAAGTACTTAAAATTGCGGCCACCTTATCTCCAACAAACCATGCCACTCCGCCGCGTAGCGGCGGCGAACGGCTAGTCTTACCCCTCTAGTGGAGTGTGCTCTGCGTCAGTCCGTCAGTCCGTCCGAGGGTAGGGTTCTAAAATGTAACGCTAATGCGGGCGTTCTACTGGCTGCCGAGCGCAGCGAAGGCGGCTTCGATTCGCTAAAATTGTGATATGTGGTGTACATATTATATGTGGTCAACACATCGTACTTACAAGCACCACTCAAATTTCATTTTGCTTTCATTTTCAGCTGCGGTATGCAAGGCCACGCGAAGGGCGCTGCCTGTGCACGCGTTAATTAGCATTAATAGGAGGCGCCGACGTGCACACACATACAATATCGTCGTAGGAGCTGTTGAAAAAAGTTGTAGGATTTGGTGACTCATATTTCGGCCTCAATCGAAACTTTAGTACTTATAGGATATATAATGATATTTTAGGCTTCGTAGTACTTTTAAATAATAAAACTTACAAAACTTTTGAGTAATACTATGTTTTGAGAACTTCATATTTTTCTTGCAGACGTTTATAGCAGTCTAACAAAAATTAATTAGTTGCGCAAGAAAAAAACGCATGTTATTACTAATACTAATCAATTTAAACCAAAGTACCGGTATTATATTTGCGTTAGATAAAGATGCACAATTTATTACTAATATTAAATATTCGAACACTTTTAAAATGTGAATATAGTGGCTTCCCACCATCCCAACCCACATAACCATGTACACCACTCCGCCGCCGATAAAAAAGGATCGTATTCCTTTGTATTCGCGCGCGTAGTGTACGACCTTAAGAGATTGTGCGCACTTTTCACCACGATATGTAGCATACTTCAAACAAAATAAAAACAGCGTTTACGATTGAATTAGCGCGGAGGCAAGTGGATAAACAAGAACACGAAACACAGAGGAACACCGGCGCACACTATGTACACGATGGGGTAGAGGGAAGAACACGAAGCACAGAAGGCCACGGACGTTGAAAAAGGACTAAATTAATGAAGGCAGCTAGCCATTCTGAAAAGCACGAACCACGGACGAGCACGCTACCATGAAAACTTGGAATGGCAAGAATATGATGGGAGCGTATGGATCGCGGAAAGTAACTGAAGTAATGACACCCCAACATGCTGAAAAACACGAGCCACGGAAACGGTAAGGTGCACGGAAAGCAATTCTTCCATAACACCACGGTAGAACATGAAGCACAGACGATGAATCTAACACAAAGCCACAGGAGAGCATAAGCGGGAAATCACCGAGCATTGGAGCACGATACCAGGGTAGAGCCAAGCCACGGAGCACAGTGTTACGGTAGCTCACAATAGCTCGGACGACAGACCAACCACGATACCGCGAGATAATACGATTGCACGGACGGTGGTCCAGCCACTAAACCGTGAGATAACACGCAGCAACGGGAGTTATAGACGGCAAATCGCGGAGCCACAAAAGGCGATTCCACGATTGCACGGGCGGCAGATCAGCCACGGAAGCACCGGGGGGGGGCGCTTTTGGATATCACGATTGCACAACGTGGATCAGTATGCCATTGTTGAATATAATAACACGGGAAACACAGATGCACTACGCGAGCACGAAGGCATAGGATAGCAGAATTATACTGCGCTCGCATGATAGCGCGATAACGCGGTCGATGAAGTCACACCAGGAGAGCACGTTACACGGGGGACGGATCCATATAACTACGGAATAGCACCCGTCGGCGAGGGTACCGTCGATGAGACGCCATGGACCATGAATGAATATGGACCACTAAACCTGTAAGCCCACTCAAGACCTTGGGAACACGGAATAACTAGCAGCCACGAAAGGGTGTCGTACTACTGAAAAGCATGAGCCCAAAAGAGAGAGCGCATTAACGGAAAAGGGCAATATCCACGGAGGAACATAGACGCCAACCAGTAGTACGGAGCAACGGACGCGTACGAATTAACGATACCGTACACTGCCATATGAGACTACGAAATGACAGGTGTTTTAAGTACACGACACAACATCGCACGGGGATGGCCGAAGTTTCGGGGTACAAGATCAGACTGAAAGCACACAACACACGAAGTACTTTAAATTGCGGCCACCTTATCTCCAACAAACCATGCCACTTCGGCGCGTAGCGGCGGCGAACGGCTAGTCTTACCTCTCTAGTGGAGTGTGTTGTCCGTCCGTCTGTCAGTCCGTCCGAGGGTAGGGTTCTAAAATGTAACGCAAATACGCGCGTTCTACTGGCTGCCGAGCGCAGCGAAGGCGGCCTCAATTGGCTAAAATCGAATTATGTGGTGTACACACTGTATGTGGTCAACACATCGTACTTAAAATGTACCGCTCAAATTTCATTTTGCTTTCATTTCAGCTGCGGTATGCAAGCCACGCGAAGGCGCTGCCTGTGTATGCGTTAG